GCAGGCGGAAGGCCCTCTTCGAGAAGCGCAAACGCATCAGCGACTATGCCCTCGTCATGGGCATGTTCGGCATCATCATGATGGTCGTCGAAAACGAACTGTCCAGCGCCGGTGTTTACAGCAAGGTAAGCCTCACAATCCTATGATCTGTTAGTTCCTTCGAAGATATTTTGTTTGACAGATTTTGTTTCGCGTGAGGGAGAAGCTAAGTAACGTAAACCGCACGGATATAAGAGTTAAGCTCCTGAGATGATCGCGGATCCCGCATGGCATAAATGTAGTCGATTTTCCTTAAAGTCTTCTTGGCTTTCCGACATCCGTTGATCCGATTTTCTAACTTATATAATACGGCGCAATTACAAGATAGCTGAAGATAAACCTCTTATCTCTTGCTTAAGTCTTGGGGTTAAGTTTCTGTAAACTTAGGACGGGTGATTGAAGTTTCGAAGTGACAACGTAGAAAAGCGAGAACGATCAATACTGGCTGACATCATTTTCCGATGAAAGCGTATTCGATCAATTTTATCTCGTTCCTGCTGTATATTACGTGTATCATGAACCTTCGGGATATAATTAACGCAAGGTTTTCCAAGCGATAGCGACGCGTTCGTGACTCGTATCTTATACATCAGGCGTCCATTAACTCGCATTTGACCCGTTAATAGATCAGTCAAACTTTCGCCGGGACTCTCGTAAATTCGCCTTAGCTGGATCGTTCACGTACGGGAAGTAAACTCATCGACGATTCAGAAGTTAAACATCCAGGAGTATGAGTCACAATCTTGGGAACTCCCCTGGTTCCTGTTTACAAAACATCGCAAACATGGCCATCGTTTGAGGAATTTGTAATAAACTTAACGCCAGTAGAGAGAAAAAGAGAGAATCCACGTGATTGATTCAATAATTCAATTAACGAAGCACTTTTTTAAATGTACATGTTAAATTCTCGACGATTCTTCAGTTTATATTTTATATATTTATATAAAGTTTCTATTATATTTCGAAAGATCTAAATACTCGATTGTTGATCGATTGTTAGAAATGAATTGTTTCCGTAAAGTTAATATTTCGACTGAGTGAAGGATAAATTTTCCTCTTGTAAAATTCGAAATTCTCGATAAAGTACAAACTGTGGAGCATAACACTTCGTGGAAACTAAAATTGGTGAATGATGGATCGTTGATTGTTGGAAATGAATTATTGTGTTACTCGTAAAGTTAATATTTCGACGAAGTGAAGAATAAATCTTTCTCTTATAAAATTCAGAAACCAAAGTTCTGATGAACCACAAATTGCAAAACATGCACTTCGTCGAATCTAAAATTGGTAAATCGGATTAAGAATACATTTTTCTTTTATAAAATTCAAAAAATGAATTTCTCGCTAAACTACAAATTGCAGAATACAACACTTCGTAGAATCTAAAATTGGTAAATGACACATAATTGTAGTAAATTATTGTGTTATTCATGCATTCTAAAAAATATCGGTGTGGATTTAACACCATACAGTGTCTATTATATAATTCCTATCGCGTTGATTAATGTTAATCAATATAGTGTTGATTTAACATGGATTTTAAATAATGATGTTTATATCAACATCACATAGTGTAAATATCGGTCCAACGTGTGTGTAATGAAAATTATATAGACACCACGCATGGAGTTCAACCTACACTAATATTTTTTAAAATATAATTTGTGGATTTAAAGTTAATATTTTGACGGTTTGAAAAATAAATCTTTCTCTTATAAATGTAATTAAACAAGAGAAGTCCTACATTTTTTTTCAGAGAAAGAAAATTCAGAATCCAAAATTTTCAATAAACTACAAATTACAAAACATACACTTTATGGAATCTAAAATTAATAATCATTAATTCTCTTTTAAGATTATAAAATTCTTTTTTATCATTAATAATGATAAAAATCATTAATTGTTTGAAATGAGTAATGAATTATTACTGATAAAATTAATACTTCGACCGAATGAGAGATAAATTTCTCTCTTATACAATTTAAACTAAAATTTTTGATAAACTACAAGTTATAAAACATAACACTTCATGGAATTTAAAATTGAATAACGAATTACGTTAATTATTTAAAGTGAATTATTATTCGTAAAATTAATATTTATTATATAAAGTATAAATTTTACTATTATAAAATTCAAAAACTGAAATTCTCGAGAAACTACAAATTATAAAACGTAACACTTCGTGTAATCTAAAAATGAAGACAAATGACAAAGTATGTACAAAGGTAATAAAATATGTACTGCAGCAAAGTACAAATTATAGTCATATATTTCGTTTATCGCAATTTACACATCCTGCATATTTTACTTCATCATTGAATAATAATTAATCAACATTCGCGCAACAGTTATGCTGTCGTAATGCGACGGTAAATAAACCGATGGACGTGAGGGATGATGATTCTTGCAGGGCACCGTGTATACACAGCTAGCAACATTTTAGCAAGTTGGTCGACATTGAAGTACCTATAAATATTGTTCACAGTTTGCACATTCTGCTTATCGCAGTCTGTCTCTGCGGGATTTTCTGACTAAATTACTAGTGACTGATAAATGATAAAGATACACAATTGCGAAGGTCGAGGGAAGATTGAGACGATTCGCTGAATATTTATCATCGGTTGGGATGCTCCGTGGCGAAACGTTAATTCATTCGCCATCGATCAGAGCCCTCGAAACCGCGTGAAAAGTGCAGAGTGATGTAGCCGCGTTAATATTACAGGGGTTGGTTTGCCCCGAAAAGGGCAAGCCTGCAGTGGGATTTAATGCTTCAAGGAATTTCTGTTCTTTCAGGAATTCAATGCGTCGCGTCCATTTATTTTTACTGCAGCTTCTTTCTCTGTAATATTGAATGATTAACATCATACTAACTAAAGTGCTGAGACTGGATTGAAAGATATTCTTTCTTTATTTAAAGTGTAAAAGCTACAATTTTCCAAGAATTGTAAATCATGAAATACAGATCTTCACAGAATCTAAAGAAATATGTTAAATTACTAGGAAAAAATAGAATTCTAAGAAATCAAGGCTTTCTAGAAATCTGAGGATTTTATTTAAGCTTTCCCTTATTATACTTCTCTGTTATACCTATATACATGAGTTGCCATTTCTCGCTAATAGACTTTTAAATTTCCACAAAATTTAGAAAAAATAATATTGATTCTCAGAGAAAAACTGCTTTGCACGCATATTCTGTATCTAAGAAAACAAAATTTCCGGAACATTTCTTACGAGATCACGATGCTGCCAACAGTCATCTCGGTTCCTTTCAGTCTCGAAGAGCTTCGTGCTTGAACGCGCACGCGACATGAGATGAGGAACTCCACGTCTGCAAATGTATACACGACACCAGCATTCGCCGCTGCTTCGAACAATCCTTGCAGAATGTAGATCGGTTCCAGCCCGTCTCCCCCCGCGTTATCCTTTCATGTTCTACCATCCGGAGTCAGCGTTTCACCACGAGGGTAGAATCAATGCCGTCGGGGTGTTCATGCTGTCACGGATAACAACTCTTTTCTTGTACGACAAGGTCCGCCACGTGAATCTGAATGATGGATCTTCGTGTTCGTGAACCAGTGGGTTCAAAGATTCCAAGATCGAAGAGATATCCACCTGAAATCGACGAAGCTCCGTAAAAGCGAATAATCCCAAAATACATCAATGTACACTGAGAAGAAGCATTACAGTAATATCAACTATAAAAATGACAACTATACAAATTTCATGCTTTATAAAATTATATGATAGATTATGTAATAGTTGAATAAATTATGAAATAGTTTATTTGACTATATACATTAATTCTTCATATTATATTTATGTGGTTGTCATTTTTGTGGCTGCTATTATTTTTTTCTGAATGTGAAAATCGAAGGATTTTAAAGTCTGAATTTAAAAAGGGATTTAAAAAAAAAGATTAAGATAAACAACCATTAAAATAAAGTAATAAATTTTTCTCTTTTTTTTATTTTTTTTTTAATCTAAAATATGATGCAAATGAATGTAAATTGCGTTTTTTTGCGCGTTGAGTGTAAAATTAAGTTTGAACAAAGTACATAAAATCTCTCAAAAAGTCAGAACTTTTAAACTTATAAAGAAGATTCTCTGAAAGAAAATTACGATAGATTAAAAATATTTACTATAAGTTATAATTATAAATTATAGTAATTGCAATCATTTTTATGGTTACAATAACTATTTTTTTCGGGAGTTGCCAATTATATATATTTGTTAATAGAAAAGATATAGTTATTATTATTAATATTCCCATATCACACACTTTATCCGACAGACATCCTGCACCGAGAGAAATGATTCGTTATAGAAACAAAAAAAGAGATAACAAATGTGATGGTTTTGTAAGAAAACAGATCGATCAGTTACTGTTGCGAATAGTTCTTCCTCTTCCTTCTTTTCGCTCTATTACTGCTCAATATATCGACAAATGACTATTAACTCATTAAATTATTGTATAGTATCGTTCGAATTGTTCTTATCATTACTATTAATTCATTAATGCATTTGTAATCGTCTCTCTGTGTGCATTGTGGTGGCTGCTATTTGCTGAGGCCTCGCCATTTACGTATTTACGCATTTATGCATTTATACTTGTATGCATTTATTCATCTCTCATTATTTTATTTTATATGGTAATTCATGTAATTCGTATTGTTAGACAATTATATTCATGTACAATTATATCTTCGTAATTTGTTTCATTTTCTGGTGGGCGTCGTCGCAGCAATAATTTTGGCTGATGCCTTTCCATTTGTGTACTTATTAAACTTGACATACTACGAATGTAAATTCTTTAGATACGCAATAAATTAAATTAAATTAAATAATTTCTCATTATTCGTTAATGTAACAAATAATACATGATTTACAAATCAAAATAATCAGTATTGCTAGCTAAATAAAAGTCGATCAAAAAATAGGTTAGGTTTTACATAAATTGCTTATATTATTAATAATTGGTTGAAATAGCAGACTAACATCAATCACATCGATATAATTTATTGTTGTCATATGTACAAATCATTTGTTAAAGGTACTGATGGCTTGTTAAATTAACAAAATCTTT